GGGGAGATGGCAGCAGCGTGTGCATTACACAGAGAACTTGCGGTCTGCATATAGGGAACGCGTACTGATTCTGCACCATCAGCCGATATTCTGTCAAGCAAAAGGCTGCCTTTATGGACTACACCATGGTGCCCGAATATTAGCCTGCTTCAGTGCAAAAAGTGCACACATTCCCAAAGGAATACGCCTCAATAAATAAAGTATACAGCAAAATATTTCAGCCAGACGCGGGGGTCGAACCCGCAACCTTATGATTAGAAGTCAAACGCGCTATCCAATTGCGCCAGCCCGGCAGGATAAATTAGACATCCCATCTTTGGGATCCTGATTTTTAGATGCATACCTCCAAGGCATCATATACTCCATATTAACGACAACCTTCCAGACCCACCTTTGGCAAACTCGGAGCTCCTTTACATTGCATGTTCAGTCTGCTATTTTAGATGTATCTTTCAGAGACTATAGTGTGTACTTGTGCGTTAGCTGTGGTTCTTGTCGGTAACGAGTATCGAGTGCTTTCCTCATTTGAAGGCTGAGGAACCAATGAATTTTGACACAATGGCTGATAATCAAGTACTTCAACGACAACGGCGACTCTGAAGCTGAGTGTCAACGCCTTAATGCTGGAAATCGAAGACAACAGGAGAATTGTGAGCTCCCGAACTGGCTGCGATTATCGAAGCAGTGTCATTTGCGTGCAAGCGTTTCCAGTGTGGCGCTGATATTCGCTTTGCACTTTTGTGTGCAGCTGGTTTTTGCCGCATGCTTATATTTACAAAACGAAATACAAAATGGTGCCAACCCAACACCACTTACTAAAACAAAAAGCGACTGGTCTTTATTTTCACAATTAGGCGGACGATGCATGTTCGTCACCAGGGGCATGGAGAGCGGGCAAAACACAATTGTGGTGTTGCATTCAAGCAATGGAGCCAATAAACCTTGCACAACCAATTTGCAGCTATTCGTACCTGCCACTTTAGCATGACCCATTTCAGCCACGAGAGATACAGTTTGGGCATTCCTGCAGGTGATTTTGCCCTTGCCGCTGCATGCAACCCGGCGCATGCTACTTTCCCTCTCACGCACTATATGTCCAACAATAGCTGCAGGTCACTATTTCTTCAGTGCATGGCAGAATTCCGGAATGAGCAACAAGGACAGCGCTCTGGAAGCACTGATTCGATTTGGTAGCCAAACAGCAAGCTGGCTGACCTATTTTCCCTGAGTTGAAAATAATAGATGCTGACATTCTCCCTGCAAAGTGACACCCCAGGTTACTTTAAGGCTCCGCCAGCAA